AAGATGGGTGATTGTGGAGTTAAAATACAGACTGCTTAGAACCTGGGATTGAGACTCAACAACCTTTCTTGGCTCTGATTGGTTGTTTTTGTTCTCACAGGTTGAACGCAGTCTGTTTGTTAACCTGTTTAAACTGCACCATGATGTCTTTAGAAAGCTCCATATCCTTGAACATCCCCTCCAGTTTGCTGGTGAACGCCGCTCCACATTCTGAGGAAACACCAAAAGGTCACAAGTGAGCGAGCGAGTGAGTGTGTCTGTGTGCGTTAGGAAGTGACACTTCAAACTGTTTTAACTGACCATGTTTCAGCTTTGACAACATTGATTTTTCAGCATCCACAGAGGCGCTTTTTCCAACCAGCAACCTCTTGGCGAGGTCCTTTTTGTAAAAGGCCTCAAAAACATCTTTTCCTACAATGACAATACAAAAGGTTCATTACAAGAACAACCACACAGGGGAGAAATACCAAGACTGAAACAAATGTAATAGTAAATATTACCATAGATGAATCTAAAGATAATCATGATCTTATCCAGCATCTTCTCCAGTTCCTCGTCTGTTGCCTCTTTGTTTCCTGCTCTTAGCTTTGAATCCACGTGTTTTGCTGTAAACAGAAGTATATTTATAGGGATGTTGTAATATAAAGATGATGATTATATGCTCATTTACCGACGGCGCAGCAGAATGGGGAACACGCTACTAACCTATGAGCTCTGCTGGTTTATTTGGCCGTTTGTTGATGAATGTTTCGAAAGCCTCCTTCATGGCGTTGACGAACTTCTCGTTCTTCATGAAGCAGATGTCGATGATGTGATCCACCTTGTCTTTAAAGTCCAGCAACTCTTGCACCATTGTTTTGTCTTTTTCTGGATTGATTACGATTGTGCTTCCAAAAGCCTGGATGTGGATTTTACAACATTGGAAAACAGTCACCAACACAATTACGCAAAACAAGCCATCTTCAAACTTATATCTCCGTTAATGCTGTCATACCTTTATGTACTCTATCCAATGTTGCAGGAGGACTTGAACGCCACCTCGCACTCGACTGAAGAGCTGATAGAGAAGAGACAGATCCTGAATTCTGTTCTCATCCAGCAGGTGAGTCAACCCTGGATGTTCACAGAAAGGTCAGAACAGAGAGTCAGAACTCTTTTATACTTCACTACGTAGTCAGACAGGCAGGATGGTTAGATATCAACTCATGGCGCTCATGTATACGTTTACATAAAGCATTTACTGGCGTGTACCTTTCTGCAGAGTAGCCGTGAGATGTTCACCCAGCAACTGTTTCTCCACAGTAGCAATGAGTGGTTTTCTGAGTGGGGATAAAGACGAAAGCTCAGGTTAGAAATGAAACTTTGTCAATATTAAATTACAAACTGAATACAACAGTCTGACGCTCACTGTGTGCTCTGGTCTA